GGGGGGGGGGTGAGCTACAGAGTGCAGTTGTTGAAGAACATAGGGGTGGGGTGATAGTGTGTGTTGGGCCGGGGTCACTAGGGAAGCATTTGGTGAAGTGTGTGTGTGCAGGCCGATTGAGGTCAATTTAGCTCAAAAGACATAGCTTACAGGATTGTGGAGGCCAGCAAGCCCCAAATTGATGAGTCGGGCATCCTTTTGGAGACTCCTCCTGATTTGGGTAGTTGTAGGAGCAGACTAACCTACAATCTGCAGGTCACCCAGCAGCTTGTTGAAGCACAGGGCTATGGATAGAAGCTGACTCCTCCCAGCGTGGGTAGGTCAAAGGACTGGCTGCTAGTGCAAGGCTCAAGAACCATAGAGACGACAGAGAAAAGGGAGAGCCTTGGCAGAGCCTTTCCTGACTTACGACATACATAGGCCTGTTAGGGGAGGGGGCCACTCTTGAAGGTTGCTGTCAATACACCAGCCCTTCTTAAATACTGCATTCATTTTCTTTTTTCTTCAAGATTATTGCTTTTGTTCTGGAAGGGAAAAAATCCAAAGTTGTTCGACGGCCAAAGGCCGGTGACTACCAGCGTTTGGATCAGAAGGTAAGGGAGGAGCAGTCGGGTCCCCAGGAGGAGGGGTGTGTCCTGTCAGGTGGGTCCGGTGGTGGGCTTGCATCTGGCGAAGCAGCAGCAGCAGCAGTAGGAGAGAACTGGGGAGAAAAGCTGCTGCCATTTCCCTGACCCTTTTCAGACCCCAAAGTACACGGGTGAATATACTTACTACAGTGTCAGAGTTAAAAGCACCCTCTTTAGGGCATACGGAAACTGAGGCCCCAAATCTTCAGTTGCCACTACATGTTGGTATCATGACCAACAAAGCAAAAGTGGAATGGACTCAAATTTGGAAAGTGTGGGTACACTAGAACAGGAAAAATGGTAGGTAGCTGTCCTGCGGTAGATGTCATCCCCCTCTTGGACAAAAAGGGCAGTGTGCGTGTTGCATAGCAACCATGGCTCATGGCTGGCAGAGTCAGAAATCGCAGTCCCCCATTCAAGGGCTCCGGCAACCATGTTGCTTTGGAATGCATGTCACTCCCCACAGTTCTGCCAATAATCCAGTCCACATGCACACAGCAGGCTCCTGAAAGGGTTCACTGCGCTTCTCTACATGTCTCGTTGCAGAGCGTCGACACCTTACTTCCATTCAGTTACTCTTCACTCATGTTAAGAGTTGGGTGGTTCTGATGCTGTATCACGGAACTGAACCGGTTCTTTTTGTACTGTACCAGTGGGTCACACATGTTACTGAGCAATCTGGGCCACTAGGTCTGGGTGGTGCCTACATGGCTACGTTCCTATGATCACAAAGGCTGCTGACACCACTCTTCAGCAGCGAAGTCCTCCAGCTCCCCCCATGAGCCCTGTCACGCAGACGCTGAGTCCCCAGACCTGAGTGCAGCGGCCCATGGGCTGCCCGAAAGAAAAGCCCTCCTCCCCCCGCCCCCACAGCAGCAGGAGCTGAGGGGGTGCTCTTCACAGGCTCCCTGTGACAGCAAGGACAGTAGACTCCCACAGGGTGTGACAGCACGCTTCTTGCTCATTCTCCTTAGCCACCTCGAGGCCATTGGCAAAGAGCGGTCAGGCCAATTAATTGCGATTTCCCATGAGCCACGATCCTAAACTTCTTAACCAAGAAACTGAACCCATGAGGGGCTTTTTTTTTTTTTTGCTTCATAAGCTGCCTCCACGGCTTCTTCAAACTGGCTTTACAAATAATTGCACGTGTTTTTATTTTTATTGATTGCTTTTTGGTGGCAGATCAGTCTCAGTTCTGAATCTCGCCCCTCAGCTACAACATTTATAAGATCAATTTCCCACCCACCGCCAAAACCAGAGTAGTGGATAGAGTCCGATCCTCTGGAAAGATGACGTTACTGATGGACTGTGTCACTCTTGTTTCAGATTTGATTTATTTACCCCTCAAGAGCCTTGTCCTCCCTGCTGATTTGGGTGTGAAATCAAGAGAAATGAAGAGTGAAGTCTTGGGACCTGAAAGACACTCTCTCCTGGGATGTGGTGGCAAGCCTGGGCTGGCGGAGCCAGGGAATTGCTTGTGTTTTTCTGCACCTGCACTTTGGCGATGTACTTGTGTGTTCTCTCTATTTATCGTTTGCGCTCTGAGTGTGACGGGAGGGGATGTGGGTGGGAACGCAGCTACGACCAAAGGGAGTGGAACCTGAGCCCCAGCCTTGGCCAGGGAGGAGAGTCACCCCTTACCAGCTAGCATTGCACTGTGCTGTGTCCCTTTGCAGGCCTGGGGTAGCCTCTGCCGCTCCAGTGACTCAGGCCCCTTGTTTGGGGGGCTGCCTTTCAAGAGTTGTAGACGGTGGGGAGGGAGCATGGCAGGCAAGGGCGTATTTGAACGCAGCATTCTCTTTAGCGACTCTTGCAGCAAACCCACACCGCATGTTGGAAAAGTGCATTATTGCCTGCCCGCCCACCCTGTGTAGCCTAAGTTCTTCACATTTTCCTGCTGTTTTAATAAAATTTTAGATCAAATGAATCAACTTAAATATAAAAATGAACTTGGGGTTTCTGAGCATAAAGCCCTAAAACCTGTTCCTATTGCCAGTTTTTATTATATGACTGATAGTTGAAACAGCGGGATCTTCTTCCATGCCGGAAGTTGAGGACAGGTTTGTGCTTTGTGCAAGAAAGCCGTCTGGCGGGGATGGGGCCTTTGTGCGTGGTTTTCAAAGGGCTGTTAGGAAAGAGCTTTCCCACGACTCCATTTGCCTCACCTAAAACGAACCGAGGGGCTTCTATTTAGAAAGGAGCTGGGCTGTTTCACCCTGCCATCAGGTGGGGGTGGGGGTCTTAGCTGAGGGGAAGTGCTAAGGGGTCATCACTGGAAGCCCTCCTTCCAGCTCATGGCAGGAGACGTTTGGGTCTAAGAAACTCAGTCGGCTTCTCCTGGCATACTGAGGGTAGTATCTTGGATCAAGTTGTTTGAGGTTTTATGTAAAACAGCTCTAGCCTTGCTCCACTCTTCGGCCCGAGGAAAAACAAATAGGATCGCAAAGAACATGGGAAGGAAGGGGAAGCCATGAACTGGGGTGGAGGAAGTCAGGCTGAAGAAAGTTCCGGCCATCCTATTTGTCATACGAGGGAGGGCTCAAAAAGTGGTGGTAAAATTCCATTATCTTTTCATTCCTTTTTCATGGAGTTTTTGAAGCCCCCTTGTGTTAGTTCCAACTTTGCTTAAGATGGCCCAAGGCCCTGAGTTCAAGGTTCGTTCTTGGACGGGTAAGCTCTTGTATGCAGGTGGAGGAGGGAGGGAGGGCTGCTCCTCTCAGCCCAACACCCTCAGAGCATGGGAAGATTGACCCCATGCAGAAGAATCTTCCAGGGTCTTCACGCCTGCCTCTCCTCACCCCTTCCACCCTTCACACAGGCCCGCATCCCCAGCCCGTCCCCTCTTCTCCAACCCATCCTTCCTTCTACTGTTTCATCTCCCTAGTAATTCTCAGCATCTTTGAAACTCTTTGGTTCCTGTCTTTGTGCGTACGATGTTTCTCCAAAGGTTATCAGGTCACCAAAGCCATCTTTCCATTTTCCCCTCTTGCTTCCCCCTCCCGACACCTCAGCCCATTGCACTTCCCACTTGGACTTTTTTCCCAAAGAGCCACCACTTTCATTGGTTCCAGCCACCCGCACAGGTGCTTAAGGAGACAAGAGCGAGCTTTCTAAAAAGCTGGCAGTGGTCTGAAGCTTGTGTGTGAACCTTTCACTGCTTGGAGAAGCAGTTTAGTCAGGAGCCTGTACTTTGGCCTCTCTGTTGGCCTTTCTCTGCTGGACAACCATTTGTCTCTGCTCCACCCCAATTCGTAGCCTGCTTCATTTTTATAGGTAACTTGTTACCCTGAATGATGCCGCTAGTCTCACCGTTTGAACACAGGAGAGGATGCCACATGTCATACCTGGTGATTCTGCCAGGCCACTCTGAAAACTGGCTGGGAAGGGTGACTTGGACTTTGAAGAGACTTCCAGATCTAACTGATCTACAACAGCTAAGGCTGGATTTCACCTCAGCGAGTTGCACAGGTCAGATGTGAAGCACCTACAGAATCCCACTTTAGAAACCCTCAAGATGTAGGAGTGGGGGCCCTAGGGTGCTTCAAAGGACTGCAACCCAGCCAGTGCACGTTGCCATAGGTCTGAGTCCTAAGTCTGCCTTGTTAAATAAATGATCCATTGAAATCGTTTCCATTCTTTTCTGTACTCACAGTCGACGCCACTGTTTTACATGTTCAGCTTTTGAATAACTTGGTTACAACTACTTAATTGTATGTTTTAAACGCATATTTGGTGTACTGATGAGTATTTTCCAGTATGTAATGTTGAACTAGCTTCTGTGAAAGCCTCCTCAATGTAGTTTTGTACCACTGAAGAGCAAACAGCAATTTTCAAATGTTAATGCGATAAATCATTAACTTTATTAGCAGTACATTAAAGTTTAGTAAAATGAGATCTTTGGTGCTTCAGTTTAAGAGATTTTTTTTTTTTTAACTTAAGCCTTCATTTCCTGCCTCTCCATCCCGCCAAGCCCAGGTCTCCAAGGCAGTGGGGCTGGCCGTCCCAGCACTATTAGCTCTGTCACCTGCTGCGAGCACCCTTGGCCTGGAAACCCTTTCAATCTGCTCCTCCCCCAGTGAAGGCATCTGCCCAGCCCTGCGCCCACTCGTAGCTTCCTTCCCCAATACTTTGGAGGATAAACCCTGAGGCTCGGGCTGGCACCAGTGGCCACCTCCATCAAAAAGACCAGTGGAGGACTTGACTGCAGGTTCTAGCATTCGCCTTAAGTTTTACTGTTGGAAGCACATACCTGCTGTGGGCATTTCCTGGGCCTGAGAGTGTCAAGGGTCAGTAAAACAACACAGTGCCAAAGCCATGCCCAGGACTTTAAAACCTAACACCAGCCCTCCTGCTAGAGTGAATTTCAACTCACAGCAACCCCACAGAGGGGTTCTGAAGCTGTAAATCTTTAATGAGTTAGAGCAGAAAGCCTCATCTTTATCACTTGGAGCAGCTGGTGGGTTTGAACCTCAGACCTTATGGTTAGCAGTCTTAACGCTCACCCTGATAGCATCGGCTGGTGCTTTTCTACAGAGCAGTGTGGAAGTCCTGCAGCCCAGTCAGACCTGGACCTGCTGCCTGAGGCAGCATTTCAGGAGCACCCACCACCAGAGTGAGGCACGGGCATCAGTGTGGCCCGTGCTGTCAGCAGGGGGAGTAAGCAACTAACTATTGAAGTGACACCAAATGATCTGCCCCAGCAAAACTCACCTTTCCCAACCTGTAACCTGCACTCGGTCAGGGTGTTGGAACTCTGTTCAGAAATCAGACATGTGCTTTAAATCATAGACACGGAGCTACTGCGGGGCAATGGGGCCAGGAATGTGTCCCGGCCGGGGGGCCAGGCCCTCTGCCTCGGCCCAAGGGAAACTACTGGCTCTTCCTCTGGGCCTGGACCCTCGAGCCGAGCTTCTGCAGGTCTGCATACACATTGCGCTTCAGGATGGCGCAGCTGCACAGCACGGCGCCCTGCAGGGCCCCCATCAGCCCACAGGTGAAGATGTCCTGACCTGTGAGGCAAGAGTAGAGCCTGTCAGCACCCGATGAAACCCAGAGGGCCGGACCAGGGCGCCCAGCTCCAAGCAGGAGCACGGGCGGGGTGGGGGTGGGGAACGGGACAGGAATAGTGAGTTCTAAGTGGGGCAGTCAGTGTACCTGTCAGGTAGAGGTTGGGGATGGGGCTTTGAGCCCTCAGGGAGGCCATCGTGTGAGGGTGCAGGCGGCCCAGGTCGTGGTCGGCCCCATAGCAGGCCCCTTGGGGAGCGGCCAGATAGAACTGATTGGTCAGCGGGGATCCTCCTTCCACACTGTCCACCTGCGGAGCGAGATGGGCAGGTGCGGGGAACTCCCACTTCAGCTCCTGGACCATCGGCTTCCCGGGGCTGTCACTGAGGGCCTTCTTCAGGGGAGGGCAGAAACGGCAGACCCAGGTCTCTGACCCTCCCCCCTACCAGGCACTCTTATCTATCTCCTTACCTTCCCCTCCAGCTGGGGGAACAGCTTCAAGACGCTGGCCATAGCGGCTTCCACAAAGGAGTGCTTGAGGGTCTCATAGCCGCTGCTGCGTTTGTCCGGGGACTCCCCCTGCCACTCCTCAAACCACTTGTAGGCGGCAGGGAACAGCACGATCATGGTGGAGCGGTCTGGGGGTACAAAGCCCGTCACCACTGCTGCCCTGGCCTGCCTGGCCCCTCAGCCCTTCGCCAGGACCCCCTTGCCCCACCTGGGTGGCGGGCCTCCCATGTCGGGTCCTTGGTGGATGGGGAAGCAATGAAGAATAAGGGGATGTGCTCCGCTGCCTTGTCCCTGGGCTTGGAGTAGTAGAGGTGCATCCTGTGGGGAGACGAGGAGCTGCCCGCCCATGTCTTCACGGCTCCCCACAGGGGCTCCCCACCGTGGGGGGACCATGCAGCCCAAAGGAAAACGCCCTTTGGAGAGTCAGTGCCTGCCCGCTTACCCCACCCTACTTCCCGGAGGCAGTGGGCAGCGTGGGCCTGCGCGCGCACACACAGCCTTACGCCTTGTCCATGTCGGTGTCAAAGTAAACATAGTAGTTGGTGGAGTTGAGCGCCAGCTCCTGCTGGGAGCCTCGCAGGCAGATGAAAACGGAGAACACGCCCAGGCTGGGCTGCACCATGGACAGCTGCTGCTGCACACCTGTCAAAGGGCGGGGCTGTGACCTGCAGCCGCTCACCTGTGCCTTCCTCCCCGACCTGGTAGGCCGCTCGGGTGCAACCGGTGAAGGGCACGGCCCCAGACTCCTAGCCCCCTACCTCTGCTCTAATCACCTAGGCCAGAGGCACTCAGGCCGGCCGGCACCTCCGACGGCCAGCTCAGCCCCATGCAGGCGGTGGGGCAGGCAGGCCAGACCCAGGCAACGGGGCCTCCCTACTTCTCGGCAGCAGGCAATCCCAAACCAGCGTGCTGCAAACTGACACCCCAAAGTCTGTCTTTGTCCCTATTCCAAAGACCATCCAGGAGCCTGCTTGTGGGAGACATCACAAGACGGCTGCCCCCCAGTCCTGACAAAAATGTTCCAAACCCTCTGCTAGGCCCTGGGGGGCCCCCAGAGAAAAGGACCATCTGTCTGGTCTTCCAGGAGAGACCTTCCTGAACTCGGATGGCCATCCACGGGAGACTCCAGAGAGCCTCGTGAGCGCTCCGTTCCGGGGAAGGTGCCTGTAACCCCACACCAGAAATGGGTTTGAGAGGAAGGGACATGACTATCGGACAAGGCATGCAGCCAGGGGCGCAGCCTGAGAGGGAAGGAAGGGGAACCGGGTTCCCTGCTTCTCCCCTCCGATCCCCACGTAGCGCCTGAGGCCAGATGCATCGCGGCCTGGATCCTGGGCAGCAGAGCTTGGCCCATCTATGCTGGTGCCGGTGCAGTGCCACAGAAGCACGTTCCCACCAGGCCCAGCAGCCGGCGACAGGTTGCATGAGCAGAACCCTGGCTCTCTGAGGCCTCCACAGACAGCAGGGCTAGGAGCCCCAGAGCCGCCTCCTCCAACTACCCCCAGTGGTCCCCACGGCTCAGCATTGATCACTCTAGTCCCCCAAATTCCCCTACTTGACCACCCCACGTCCACCCTCAACCCCAACTGGTTCTGCCTCTTTAGAGGATCCCGGTCGCTGGTTCCCATCCCTTAGAGCAGCAGTTCTCAAACTGGGGGTCGCGACCCCTTTGGGGGTTAAATGACCCTTTCACAGAGGTCGCCCGATTCATAACAGTAGCAAACTTACAGTTATGAAGTAGCAATGAAAATAATTTTCTGGTTGGGGGATCACCACAACATGAACTATATATTTTTTGTTTGTTTTGAGGAACCGTATTAAAGGGTTGCGGCATTAGGAAAGTTGAAAACCACTGCCTTTGAGGGAGCTGGACCTGGAAGAAGCCCGGGAAATAGGAAGTCTCCCAGCACCTGAGAGCTCAGTGGTGCAGCCCATCTCTGGCACTCCCCAAAACGCCCGCACATCTGACTCCTACCCGAGCGGGCCAGGTAGCCCTTCAGCCGGTGTGGGCTGGCGCTGTTAGAGTGTTTTCAGGGCAAAAATACGTAAGCGCCTGAACACTGACTAACTGGACAGTGAGGGGAGGTCACGCAGAGCTGGCACGTGGAGCACAGCTGCCTGAGGGAGGCGGGCCGTGGGACCCACCGTGTCAGGGTGCAGGGGTCCTGGGCAGAGGGTAAGGGGTGACAGCAGGAGGCAAGCAGAACCAAAGGCCAAGCAGACAGGTCGTCCCACACCTGTGACTCAGTGCACTCTGCCCCACCCGACCCCGCTCACCCAGTTGTACAGCAAGAGGCCTCGGCTGGCAGCGGATGCTAGCAGGCCCAGCTCAGTGAGGCAAAGGTACCCGGAGGCTGGTCTTCTGGGCCACCCAGCCCACAGCCATTACAACAGCCATGCCACCCGGCCCAGGAGGAACTCGAAGGCCCTGCTCTTCTACCAAGCCCTAACCTGCCCACTTCCCCCAGCTCCTCTGGGAGCTGCCACCGGCACGCCTGCCCTCTGCCTTGTTCCACTGAAGGTTCTGCTCTTGACCAGCTGGCCTGGTGCTCCTGACTCTTAGTGCCCACCCTAGCCAAAGGAGCTCACCTGCAGTATCGGCCCCCTCCTCGCCAGTCGGCCTTTCCTCTCGTCTCCCCAGGAGTTACAAGAGGTGCCCCAGGGCCTTCACTCGGTAACCTGTTAGCTAACTAACCTTGGCTCTGCCACGTGGTTGCCTGCTCTCCTGGCCCTTCTGGTGAGACCTTTGCTCTGAAGCCGCACACTCAGCCTGCTGCGTGGGGTACACAGAGCCTCGCTCTCGGGTCAGGCTGGGTGGCCTCAGGACCTTCCTTCACCTTTAGAGGTTTCTATTTCCTCAGGAGCCCTGGGGATGTAAGGGTTATGTTGGGCGGCTAACTGCAAGGTCCGCAGTTTGAAACCACCAGCTGCTCTGAGGGGCTTTCTACTCCCATAGAGTACTACGGTCTCGGGCACTCACAAGGGCAGTTCTGCCCTGTCCTATGGAGCCGCAGGGAGGCGCCCTCGCCTCAATGGCAGGGTGCTGGGCTTTGGGGGTTTTTATTTCCCCAACCATCAACATTAGGGTGATCTCTCTGTCTGGAAACTGTGAGGATCAAATGCAAGGACAGAGGCCAGGCCTCTCAGATTTATCCATGGTGCACGGAGGTAAGGTGTCTCCCCCAAATAGGAGGGGGCTTCAAAACAGTTCGTGGGAAAATTCCGTCTGTCCACCAACTGCATCCCTGTGTGTGTCAACCTGGCTGGGCCAAGATTCTGACCCTGATGTCATTCTCCTGTGTGTTATAAAGCAACACCTCTCCATGAGGATTTGTGCATGAGGCAGATCTGATGACGACTGTGAATATTAGCTACAGGATTGGCTGCATCTTCAGTCAACCTTTTTGGCGGTAGCAAGAGACTAAAGAAGCAAGCAGAGATCAGGAGACCGCTGTCACGAAGGAAAATGAGCCAAGCGCGTTTCTTTGGAGCCAGCTCCCTGCTCTGAGAACCTCCTGGCCCCGGGGAGGAGTGATGACAATACACATGGGAGACCTTCAACACTGGGCCCACAGGTGCTGAAAGGAGACCGGGACCTTCCTGCTACCCTGGGAGCCAATCCAGAGCGAGCCTCCCTGTAACAGCAGGAGCCCTGAATCCAGTCACCCAGCCTCCTAAACTGTGAGTTACCACCACCCACGAGGGCACTGACGTTAGAGCAGCACTCAGTAACCAGACAGGTGGCATAACCATAAACACGCCCACCTCCCCTGCACACACCCAGGCTTTGATTTTATACTCGGCCCTCAGAGATGACCGCACCGAGGCTTATTCCTGCCTGGGTCCAGATTTCAAACGCGCCGCTGACGGTATAGAAGAACGACAGAGGAGCTAGGTCCTGAGAGCAGCAGAAAACGCTATCCTTGGCTCCCAAATAAGGCATACCACCCCTCTGTCTGTCCTGTCTTCTCCATCGGCCTCGGCTTCCCTCCCGATTCACTCGGCGCAATCCCTCCTCCCCGAAACCAGGGAACGATGAAGGAAAGGGGTGGAACTCACACCACAAGCTCAAGGAAAACCCAGAAATGTTCCCTGGGGACTCACCATTACGCTTAGAAAGGTGCTCTAAGATCTAGAGAAACTGGAAACAGGCCCCTTGAAATGGAGGCTTAAAGAGGAGAAAAAATGGTGGCAGAGGTTACAAGGGGAGCAGGGATAGAGATGCTGAGAATAATATGAGGAATGCTGGGAGGATGAGACAGAAAGAAACTTGCCCCTGCCCCGCTCCCCCTCTCCACCCCCCAGCACGGGCTCGCTGCGAGCGGCTGCCTGAGAGACAGCATTCGCACTGTCTCTGCTTAGGATGGTCAGAGGGCAGCTGGTTTAGGTAGCCAAGGGAGAGACAGGCAGCATGAGGCGGGCTGAGCAAGCGGAGTCTGGAAGCAGAACTGCTGAGGCAGTGGAGAGGGTGATGCAGAGCCGGCGCTCACCTGGCAGGCCGCGGGCCTGCTCCGGCAGTAAGTGCTGGTAGGTATTGAAGAGCCCCGCGCTGGAGATCACGACGGGGCAGTAGATGTTCACCAGCTCTTGGCCCTTCTTCACGCTGACACCTACAGACACGGCAGGTGGGTGAGGCTGTCTGGCTGACTCCACTCCTGCCCGGGCTGCCTCCTCCCAGAGTTCAGCCCTAGTGGGCTTTAACTCTCTGTGCAGCTTACAGGACTGGCCCGAGTTAGGGCAAGGGGGTTCTGGGCCCTCTCCGCCTTTTACAGGGTGAGGGCAGGGCATGCTCCTGGCCTCCATTCTGACCTGTGGAATGTCCACATTACTCATTTTTTTCCATCCATCCCGAGTCAACATTTATTGAACCCCTAGTGGTACGGTGGTTAAGGAGTTGGGCGGCGATTTGCAAGGTCAGCAGTTCAGAACCACCAACTGTTCCTTGGGAGAAAGAGGAGGACTTCTACTCTTATAACAGTTTCGGTCTTGGAAACTCAAAGCAGGAGTTCGACTCTGTCTTATAAGGTCACTATAGGCCAGCACGGAGTCGATGGCGATGGGGTTTCTGGTGTGGTTAAGTGGTGAGTGGTGCAAATGGTTTGTGTGCAACTACTAACCTGAAGGTTGGTGGTTTGAACGCACCCCATGGTGCTATGGGAGAACTGTTTCTCTAAAGATTAAACCAAGAAATGTCTGCAGTAGCTCTGCCCTGTACGACTTGGGGTCGCCACGAGTCAGAATTGACAGGATGGCAAAGGGTTTGGTTATGTGGGGAGACCTATGGACAGAAAGATCCAGGAAGACCTAGTGCCCACATCCAAGATACTACCGAATTCCTGCATAATGTCACTATTGTTGAATAAACTGCTACTCTGTGAGGAAGGGTCCCTGGTGGCACAATGGCTTACGCGATAGGCTGCCAAGCTCACGGTCAATGGTTCAAGCCCACCAGCAGCTGCACAAGATAAAGATGGGGCTATCTGGACCTATACCAAGCTAGTCTCAGAGACCCTGAAGGAGCAGCTCTACCCTGCAAGGTTCCGTGGGTCAGAGTCAACGCCATGGCAGTTGGGTCGGGAGTTTGGTTTTGTTTTAGTCACACGGACCAAGAATCCTTCCTTCTCCCTTTGAACCTCAAGACCTACTATTCCCTTAGCAGATTTCAGCTTCTAACGCCTCACGATGAGCTGAGCCCTATACCTTCAGGCCTCCAGGGCCTTTTCTTCTCTGCGCCCAGTCTCGCCGCCGCCCCCCCCCCCAGCCCTGGCAGCCCGAGGCCCGGGCAGGCTCTCACCACAGGCCTTCCCGGCGGAATCCAGCAACACACTCTGCACGGAGGCCCTTGTGAGCACAGCCCCTCCGGCCCGCTGGATCACGGGGATGGTGTGGAAGGCAATTTCGCTGGAGCCTCCTCGGGGGTAGAAAGCCCCTTTCTGGTAGTGGTCGACCACCAGTGCATGCATGGCAAAGGTGGTGTGGCTGGGGGTCACGCCTACAGGAGGAAGGGGTGACAAGGTGAGAGTGCCCCACAGAAGCCGGTTAGGCACACCGGCCGAGGCCACACTAGGATCCCAGGGTTCCCCGGAACCCAGGACAGTCAGTGGCCTGTGTCCATCCAAATAAAGGGTATTTTACATCTCTCTGGTCTGGCAGGAAAGCCCGCCCTGCAAACCGCCAGGCGGCCAAGCTCAGTGGGGACGGAGCTGGTGGTACAGAAACCTCATCTGGGTAGTGCAGGAGGGGAATTTCTACCAGGGCGAGCACGCTTCTCACCCACCAGCCCCAATGGGCTGGGGTTTTTCAATGGCACCATTTCAGTCAGTCAAGCAGGTTTGGGAAGAAAGTCTGACCAGGAGGCAGGAGAGCGGCACCCTCCTCCAGGAGCCGCCCCAAGCCTGCGCCTTACATACCGTAGGTGGGGAAGATGTAGCTGAGCACAGCCCGGAGCTCAGGGGAGGCCGGCAGCTGCCGCAGGACCTCAGACAAGCTCTGGGTGGACGCCCGCAAGAACGGCGAGAACCATGTCAGCAGGCCACCCTTGCAAAGGAGCCGAGCCACAGGCAGCGGGAGGAGCTTCAGGAAGATGGCGTGGATGGCTCCCCTGGAGACCACCTGGGAAAGCAAGCAAGCAAGCACTGAGTAGCAGGCAGCACCTCGGGGACCCCGGGGCAGCATCACCACGCCCAGCAACATGCCCCGTTCGTTCATTGACACAGTGAGCCACAGACACTTTATCTGCATGCGCGGTCCGGAGTCCGTGGGCCGGCCCCTGCAGAGCACAGCAGGCACGGAGCTGGCTGCAGCCCAGGCTCCGGTAAGATAGATCAAACCAGATTGTTGATTGACAGCTTGCCCGGGACTCTCAATCAACCAGGACAAAAGCAGCAAACCCTCTGGGGGAGAAAACATTGGGTCAAAGGTCACACCTTCTTGGGCGCAGGTGTGGGGAACAAAAGGATTTCTCTTAAGTTGTCTCCCCAAAATATATGCCAGATTTAGCTTGAAAATAATTGTTCACTAGGCAGCGAAAGTAGGTCAGAGGTTATTCTCCCTAACATCGACCATCAAGAATGGATTGGGAGTCATTCTCACTGAGAGGTATCAGCTGTCTAGATCAAGCAGACACCACTGCTTATCCCACAACAAATAGGGCCCATTCCTTTCTGTTATTGTTCCCTCAAAACAGTGCCCATAGGCAAGCCCGGGACCACTCTAAGATGACTAAGCTTAGGTTACTATCTTGCCACACATGACCCCCTATTCCCTCCTCTTACTATTGCACGTTCACCCCTAGGTCATCCCCCTCCTATTGCTTGTATTGCCTATGTTACAACCCCTCTCTATGACGTAGGTTGTTATCTGCTATCAGGGGGCTTGCATGCCTCCCAGGATAGTAATTGCCTGCTTTATTGTATGAGACACCAGAATGATCAAACCTGTTCAAGGATGAATTGTACTGCCCTTCTCTGTGACGCATGATGCTGTGATGTATCCCCCTAAAGTAATATGATGCATGGTTAGCAATAAATAAGGAGGCTCCCTGGTTCTCAGGAGGGTGGCTGGAGAAGGTGACTAAGGAGGACGAAGCAGCGGATTCTTCTCTGGCGGCTAAGCCCCCTCCATGAGGACCATCAAGCCGGGCTGAGGTGAGCTATGCTACCATGAATTGCGTCTGACTCCATTACTTGACTCCATCCTTTAACTCTCATGCTCTCTATGACTTTACTATAATCTCTACTTATTATCGCTGTACAATTGCGCCTACCGAACCTGTGATGTTTTGTGGGGTTCCCTCTTTCTTATAACCCCATATGCAGGGGGAAATATTTCAGCCCCAAACCCAACCCCAAATTCCCTGCCGTGGAGTCACAGCCAGAGGACAGGGTGGGACCACCCGCCCTGCGTGTTTCCGAGAGTCTGTTTATGGAATAGAAAGCCCCGTCTTTCTCCCTTGGAGTGGCTGGTGGTTCAGAACTGCTGACCTTGGGAGTCACAGCCCAACACACAACCATTAGGCCACCAGGGTTCCCTAAATCCTGCCGATTTGGGATGTTTATAAAACTCTGTACTCTCGGACTTTTCTCCTCTACACTCAAGAGTCCCCTTCCTCGTAGGAGACATTGCTTTCCTGCTGTGGCAAATACAGAAGCCTTCAAAAAGTTCGTGGAAAAATCCCATTATTCTGTAATTCCATTTTCCCCCCACAAACTCCTTTTAAACACAGATTTCACAGACCAAACAAGTCAATTCTATATTAAAGGGGGCGGGGGGGAGTATAAGCGTTACCACTACCAACTGTAGGCACATCTTCTTCATTCTGGCACCTGTTAAGATCAGCCCCCTAGGATCCACCTGCCCGACCTCTGTCATGGCCCAGAGCCCAGTGACCGTCTCTACAGGTTGACCTCTCCCACAAAAGCCTGGAGCCCCCTTGTAGACGTGCTAACAAAGCATTTGTCATCTCACCCAGCTTCACGCAGACAGCTCAGTGACATTAATTTCTGTCAGCCATCACCCTATTCCCAAAGTTCCCTGCTCCCTCCCTTAACAGAAATGGTCTGCCTTCCCTGGTTGCCACCACTAATCACCTGTGGTCTCTCTCCATACTTGCCTGTTGTAGACATCTCACGAAGGCGGCGTCATACACTTTCTTGCAACTGACTTATTACTTAACTCAGCAGTAGCATCTGCCTTCCTGCTTGTCACTCTATTTGAGATATACACCTGGGAGTGGGATGATCAGCTCATATGATAATTCTATGTTCAACCTCTTGAAGGCCTGCTGAACTGTTTTCCGCAAGGCTGACCGTTATACAGCCCCCACCCCCACCCCCAGCCACCGCTCGCAGCAGTGAGGATTCCGGTCTCTCCACATTCTCGCCAACACTTGCTGCTTCCCACTGAAAAACAAACAAACAGCCATCCCCGTGAGCGAGAGTGGGAAGGGCTATCTCACTGGTTTTGACCATCAGTCAGTCCATCATGATTGATGACATGAGGCATTTTTCCATCTCCTGGTTGGCCATGTGTATTTTTTTCTTTAGAGCAGCGGTTCTCAACCTGTGGGTCGCAACCCCTTTGGGGGTCGAACAA